CGTAAAAAGTCCCTTCCTTACATACAATATTTACAAGGAGAAAAAAGCATTTTTTGGGCAGGAGCAACTACTCGAGTTAAATAACGATTAAGACTGAAATTCCCGGTTTTATAATTGTAAACCCCTAAAAGGTTTAATTTGAAACAAAAGCCCTTGCTTTAAAAGCGAACACGAAAAGGCAAACTAAACGTGCAAAAGGGATTTTAAAAACTCTCTTAAAATTGGCAGTTGGGGGTAGATGCCCGAAACGAGAATGAATTACTGGCAAAGGGGAACGATTTTAACCAGAATACAAATGGTAATTTTATGTTACAGTGGGGAAAAATTTAAAAATCCCGTTTTGGCCCTTTTTAAGGGTTTTATCATTATGTATTTAATACCCAATCTTTACTGCCTTTATTTTTGGTGCCTGTTTGGGTTTGCCCAGCTGGTGTAAATTAAAATTTTGGTGGGGGTTGCGTTCCCTGAAAAATCCCCTTTTCCCTTGTTGTATTTTTTTCTCTTTTTCAAAGAATTGATAAACAGCCCAAAAAACTTTACGACTCATATATACGAAGAAAAAGACCCCGGGTAAAGGGAAATTCCCAAGGGGCCCCTTCACTTTAAATCTCAGAAAAAAGCACGACGAAATAGCAAGGGTAAACTTTTAGTAATCCCTTGAAAAAATATTTCGTTTTTTTTCAGAAAATCTCAGGGAAAATAAAATGTCAGACGTTCTAATAAGATTTGATAATATGACTGGCAGCTAGTGCAGTTAAAGGTTTTTAACAGGTTGGGTTGGCTTCTTGAGTGCCCTTTGGTAAATTGAAAATTTTGGGGGGCAGTTTTTTTTTAAATATCCCCTTTTTCCTTTTTTTTAAATTTTGTTGAACCTCTTTTCCCTTTCCCATTCAGGGACATTACCTGTGTCCAAGATTTGTATGAAAAACCAAAAGTTACCCAAATACCTGAATATTTTATTATATATTATATTGAAATATTTCAAATGTGGAACTAAAGGGCATATACTCATGGTGTAGTTGGATACCCGGGAAAATTTAAAAACGTCTAAAAAAAAATTTTAATATTTTATTTTTTAAATATAACAAAAACTTATATAAAAATTAAAAAAATATAAAGAGAAAGTTTGGGTTTTCCCCCTTTGTTTTTGAAAAAAAATGTGGTGTATTTCTTTTATCCCCTGATAATGAATGAAATTGGTAAAAAAAACAGGGGTGGGTTTAAAATGTCAATAAGTGCATTCATTACTTATTGGGGGGATTGAATACCGTAAAACCCGGTGCTTACATTAGGGGATATGCCCCTTACCATTATATCAAAAGAAAAATTAAAGAAACCATAAAAAAAAAGGGCCCAAAAAATGAAAATTTCAAAATCGAAATGAAATTCGCCTTGGTAAAAGGGTGCATATGGGAAACGTGGGTCAATTGAAAGGTAAAGGGAAACATATTTAGTAAAGAAAATTTTAACAAACTTATGTTGCTTCAAACGAAAGTTTTCCATTATTTAAATTTTTATTAAAAGGGGAAGGGGTAATTTCAAACGGGTTTTTCTTAAGGCTGTGCATTTTTAAAGAAAATCAGTTTTTTTACAAAAAAGGCATTTTTCCCTTAGTTCTTGACCCGGGTCTATGGGTCATATACGTTATAAAAACCAAAACAAAAAACCACCAAAAACCAAACTCAAAAATTTTTCATGGTACGATTGAAAAATTGGAAGTGTTTAAATAATTTAAAAGTCCCCAAAAATTTTAAGCCTTTTGCCCGTTTTTTTTATGTGAATTACGGGAAATAAATGTTTTTTTTTAAAAAAATGATTAAACTAAAATATCACACCCAAAACTTTTTCATTTTTTCGTTTTACGCAAAAAGCGCAAGCCCTACTTTAAAAGTTGGAAAATGAAATCTAATGTTGTTAAATCTTTTTTTAAATTTTTGTCCAGACCTTCCCCTATACAACAATGCAATTTCAATGAAACTTTACAGGTTTAAATTTTAAAATGAAAAAAGTCCTTGAGCATATCGTAGGGGTTTTTCCCAGTTAAATGATTTTTGGCCGATTTAAAAGGGCCCCCTTTAAATTTTTTTTTTTTATTTATTTTTTAGTGTTGCCCCAATACAAAAAATTTTTTCAGGAAACCTATTATCCCAGAAAACTACTAAAGGCAATTTATCAAAACTAACAGGGGAATGATCATACAGTGTCTTCTTCGTGCAACTCCTTCAACAGTTTTTTGGTATCATGGATTTTTGTCATTTTAATAATCTATTCCATTTTCCAAAAAGGATGATACTTAAAAAAAAAATTTTTGTGTTATTTCTCAAACACACTATTCTGTAAAAAAATTAAATCGTTTTATAAAGAGATTGCAACAATTGCAATCCCTGAAGTGAAGAACACGATATGTTCTTCCAGCTGCCACATGGCACTAGACACTTGCTGTTTTTGAAGTATTGAAATCTTTAGAACGGTAAAATCCTTTAAAAGAATCAACAACATTTGATTGGGCCTGTGCATGACGGATAATGAAAACAGTGGCAACACTCCTCAAAGGCCATCAGCATAAGTGGAGCTCATTTTTCCAACACTTTTAACGTGTTTGAAATGAATGACCAAAAGAAGGACCAGAAAATCATAAAATCATTAAAAAAATTAAAAATTTTTTATATTTAAAAAATTCTGGCTAAAACCCCCAGATCAGAGTTTTTTTTAAAATTTGGGTAAACTAATCTTCAAACTTGAGCTTGGCCAAAAAAAAAATTAACAAGAAAAATTTAAAGGAAAACCCTTTTTTTTTAAAAACTTTTGGGTTTCTCGAAAATTGGGAAAACCCCCAATCTTATCCCTTTACTCAGTGGGGCCCAGATATTATATGTTTTTTTTGGCAAAAGGGAAATTCCCCAAAATCACTCCAAAAAATAAATTATTTTTTACCCCTTCCCCCGTCGTTTAAGAAAGATTTTTGGGTATAAATCATTGGGTACTTCTTATGACACGTCGTAATTTAAAATTTCCCTTTTTATACCCCCCCCACAAATAAGTCCCCATAAATCATGACGTATGGGTTTTTTTCGAAACCCAACGAATGTAAACAAAAGAAAAGGGGGGTAATCTGTTGAACGCCTTTTTTTGGAAAAATAAACAAATTTTCCTTTTTGGATTTCCCAAAACGTAAGAATAAAAGTTTCTTACCCTTTTTTGGGAAATATTAATTTATTTGACAGTTAAAAAGTGCTTGTAAAACGAATTTACATGCGTAAAAAAAAAACCGTACGCGCCTGCAAAAAGCGCAAAGTTTTTTTTACAACTGGGGGACCTAACGGGGAAAATTTTGTGTATTAAAAACCGTCGGTCGGTAATATAATTTTTTTCGGGTGACCCAAAATCCAATCAAAAAGGAAAGGGAAAAAATTGGGAAAGGGGAATAAAAAATTGAGTGAAGCTGATAATTTAAAAACCCCAAAAATTTAAAATAAAAACAAACAAATAACAAAAAAAGCGTAAAAGGAAAGGGAAAAAAGGATTTTTCTTTGAAAAATTTTAGACCCTATTATTGCTGCGATTTTTGCTGATTCAGTAATCTTGGTTCAAAAATTTTTTTTTGAAGAAACAAAACAACATGCCTATTCTTGGGCCAGATAAATTAGAACGATTCATAACCTCTATATATGTGCACAGATATATTAATTTGCTGTGAAATCTTAATACTAGTATCTATTTAGTATTTAGTAATACAAGTATCTATTTAGTTCTTATCATAAAATATTGTAAATATGAAGCACAGTATTTATAGCTTATATTGTTTTTTATTTCTTTCTACAAAAAGACTAAATTTTTAGTATGCCTGACAATTTAATAAAAAAAACACACTGAAGAAAAAAACAATAAAGAAGAAGAAAAAATGGAATGCCATCGGTAAAGTTTTATTGTCTGTTGAAAAGTTGTCTTTTTAAATCAATATTTCTCAAGTTCTCAAATTAGATAGAGAATATTTGGTATATAAATGGTTCAATGTATCTTACACTTAACTGAAAAAAATTTATCTATAATTTCTATTATTACAAATAATCGTCATAAAAAAAATTATTTGTCAATATTATACTAAATCTTTTTAATTTTTAAAGGGGGGTTTAAATTTCACAAATTAAGCATAACAACCCTATATCAGTTCCCGTCCATTTTTCTATAATTTTCTGGGAAAAAGAAAGGAACGAACTTAAAATAATCATCAAAGCGTGAAAAGAGCACCCAACTTTCAAGCATAATTTCAAGTTAAATTCACTTAACATTATTTCAAATAACGTCAGAGCAAGTGATATAACTAGAGGGCATGAACACTCCTGATGCATTGTTGTTTTTGGGAAAAAGCTCGCCCTCGTATTAAAAGGCCCCTTTTGAAAAGGGAAGAGGAAAAACTTGGAAAAAAATATAAGTATTGTGTTGAATGATAATAGACATACATTTAAAGCACGGTACGGAACAGAGTTTCTACAATTATTTCAAGACGAGAATGTCAATTACGACATTGATACGTGGGACACTCATCAATTATGTGCTGTAACATTAGTTTTGTTTGAATCAGGTCTAACTGATCCAGAAGTTAAATCTACTCAATGTATATATGATCAGAGAAAAGATATTGAGAATTACGTAGAAAGTGCCTTCCTTACATACAATACTTACAAGGAGAAACAGCATTTATTGCAGGAGCAACTACTCGAGTTGATAACGATTATAGACTGCAATTCTGGTTATAATTGTAAACGTATGATGGTTTCATTTGAAACAAAAGTCTTGCAATTAAGCGAACCACAGATAGGCGAACTAACACGGACAAATGATTTTAAAACTCATCTTAAAATTGCAGTTGAGGTAGATGCCGTAACAGAGAATGATATTACTGGCGAAGAGAACGATCTTAAGCTGAATACAAATGGTAAGTATTTGTGTTACAGTACGGATTTAAACCGAGTCTGCAATTATCATGTAATTTGTTGTGATTAATGCTTCAGAGGGATCACTTTGTTTCCAGATTTTTAAATTGTTTTCATTGCTTTCTAAATGCATTACTTTAAGCAAAAGTTCAATTAGCGTTTATCTTTGGTTGTAGCAATATAATTGTTTAAGATAGCCACAATCGAATCTCAAATTAAGTTAGCATGCTTTTGTGTATATTCTAAATGTGTATTCGGCTTGAGTTCAGCTGATAAAATACATGGCCAATCAAATGACATACAATGACTATTATCTTTAAATAAATATACATGTTAACACTTATAGTGCAAGTGAAAACAAAAGTTTGCCTGTCTGAACCAGAACCAGGCGTAGATAGAACGATTAATCTAGAAATCATCTCTCGTAAAAATATTGTTACCCGAGGCTAATGCCTCGGGTAAAATATAATTCTCGGGAAAATATTTTTAAAAGTACTTTTACTTACATAACAGTACACATTTCTTGGTAATGTGATACACTTGCATGAACAGTATGAATACCTCAGTGGCCAATTGCAAATTAACATTACCAAAAAGGTTAGGAGTATTAATAAACAATCACTTGATATAGCTGAATTATAATCTTATAAACAAAATACAATATACTTCAGGCCAAATGTTCATTGAAGAACTTCAGAACAAAAGTGTCTACAACAATGATTCAGCTGTTTTGACATGTAAACTCAACCTTCCAACAGATGAAATTGTTGAGTGGAGAAAAGATAACAAGCCGGTTGAAATTTCAAACAATTTAATGGTCATGCGCAAGAATGGCAATCACTGGTTAGCGATTTCCAGTGCATCATTGGAAGATACGGGTCAATATTCGTGTGTATGTGGCCATATTTCAACTACAGCTGATCTTACTGTTATAGGTACGCTTTATTCGAATTATAACAACAATGATTGTGTTCTGTTTCAATGCTTAGAAACAGATAAATAAATAATTATACCTTACCATTGCATTTACTATTTATAACTTTCAAGTTTTTATATCTAGTAAGCAAATATCATAATTATAAAATTGAGATCTTTGATTAGGCTTTAACTTTAGTTTGATCGGCAATCTAACATTTTTAAATATAATTTGTAAGTGAACAGTTAAAATCGAAAAAGGAATGATCAAGATAGTAATTGATTTAGTGAAATGAAATTGTATGACAGGTAACATGGGCGAATATTAGCAACAGTTTATTCCATAATGATCGAAGCAATTACAAATAAAGTGTGATTCGTTCAATTATCATTACGTAATTCATTCGACAGATGAGGCATTAAGTGTGGTCGTTGATTTGCCTGCCAAAATTGAGGTTACCGAGAATGGAAACATTTATATAGAGTGTAAGGTGAACCTTCTTACGAGTAAACCTGTTTGGCGATACAAAGGGGAAATTCTACAATCATCTGGTAGAAAGGTTATACAAGCAAATGGTACTTACCCACAAGTTGATAATCATTAATGTAACACTACACGACGAGGGTGAATATACAGTTGACTTTGGGAATGGTTTCCTTAAAAAATTCTTCCGGAAATTATTTTTTAAAGGGGGGTATTTTCCCGGAACCCGGCCTTTGGTTTTTTTGAAGGGATTTACTTTTGTGCCAAATAGACAAACCCTTTTGTTTGGTTTGGTTTTTAAGAAAGTTTGATTGTTACAAGAACAAAATAAATTTTTTTTTTCAAATGAATTTTTGTCAATTAGTTTGGTTAACAAGATAAACCTTAAATTTATTTATTTTAATTATCAAAAATAATTGAAAAAAAACCCCAAACAAAAAAATAGCATGTTTTATTTTTTCTTTGAGATAAAAACAAAAAATATGTACAATAAATTTGGGAAATAGGTACTTTTTTTTGGTAATTTAATATGACACTAACAAATTTGAAACATTTTATTTATTTGTTATTTGTGTTTTGTAAAAATGCCGATTTAAAATTCAAATTGATTTAACGGAAAAATACAAATGTTCATGTACATGGTTTAAGAATAAACAATATTACATATTGAAAGATTAACCATAATTTACTGACTTTTTCCAGTTAAGTTTTGACTTATAATCGTCGGCCAATATGACAATTGAATTCTTAACATTTTAATAAAAGAAAGTAGTAAACGTAAAAACTCAGTATTAAAATAGCACATACAACACAAAAAAGAAAAGAAAACAATATTCATAAAATCTGTAAATTATTCTATTAAAATAGACATTACATGTACAATTATTGTATAATAAACAATTATGGTCAACATGATCAACAGGGTAATTTAACCAGTGTCATATTTTTACTAAGTGTGAACAGATACCTTAAGAGGGGGTCTTCGCTAATAGCGATAACATAATAAGGGACAAATACACAAGTGTGGTGTTGATCATGAGTTACACATATGGATTATAAATGATTGTATACATGTATATCCGTTGCTATTAATAATTACGATCATAAAGAAATAACAAGTAATATTCTAATCTCTAGCATGCCAATCAAAGTAAGTTCATAATGAACAATGTCTTTCGTCCATTCATTCATAAGTGATATACAATTCTGGTAAAAACCAATTAACCATTGAAAAGATTATAAGAATATCTTGTCATCATATGTCTTCTAGTTCATCTTCACCTGCTGCATTTCTTGCTTGGACGCCCTTTGATGCTTTGCATAAATGCTTTTCTTGTAATAGTTTGTTTTAATCTCTATCAGGTCCTTTACATAAAAGTCGTTAGTTTCAATAAATAGGTTTGGGTAATAGCTGATAAATCTTAAGAGCAAACAAAGCAATTAGTTAAACACCAATTCGACAGATACCAGAAAATCATTAATGCATTTTTCTTCAATGTATTTTAGTGGAAACAGACCTTATCCACAGAAAACAGATAACACAAGAAGTGTACAAAAATTGGATGAGAGGAGCTCTAGCGTTAAAATATTTAAAAATAGGTTTAGAGGGTTTTTCCGACAAGGCTGTTCACAAACAGCATAATGATCTAATGAAAACTCTTGGAAATACATGCAACACTTGTACAGAGAGAAGTCTTCTCCCACATAAACAAGCTCAATGCCCACGACAAAGAAAATATCAATGTGTATGTACTAAGAGTCAGAGAAACAAGTCAAGACAAATGTGTCCAAATGGGGGATTTTGTGGCAACGTTTATAATCGAATAGTTTGTAAACATCGCTTTCAAGATCCATCATTCACGAACACGGATGTCCAGAAATGGAGCAGTGATCCATGGAGTGTTGCTACATGCTTTATAAATACTACTGGCTACAAAGGCAAACAATCAGCTAAAGATGTCGACTGCTCTGGTTTACTTAGTATGTGTATAAACAACATTGATATAGAAATGATACTTGGAGAAGTTATCATCGATGGAAAAATAGATGCGTTTGCACAGGTAAACATCTTCACCACAGTAATCAGATATCGATGTATGTATCTCAACTGAACATTGTATATATATATGATATTTAACCTTTTTTGTGCAAGTCAATAAAAGCCTTTTTCGAATTGACTTTTAAGTTTATTAATTAATAAGTGAATTGTTTTAGCGACAAATTAGAATGAGACTTTAAAAATAAATACTGGAGTGTTACTTTTATAGGCAAGGCAGGCGCGGAATGATATTCTTCACAGTCCAAACTATGAACTATCTGAAAATCAACTAAACAAGTTTATCAAAATGTTCAAAGAAGTACTAGAAATCAAGGACAAACATGGCAATACACCTCTGAAAGGGGAGCCAGGCGTTGCAAGCGCCTTACATTTACTAGATATAGTAACAATCCTATAAGAGTAATTATAAAGACAAAATTAGCCAAATAGGGATCCATTTTATTGGTTCTTTATGTAATAAATCGTATTTCTTTCTAAATGTATCAATTAACAATATATTGATCAATTTTGTCATATTTGTTACACAATATACTTTACTATTTCTAACGTCTTAAGTATTTGTTATTTTAGTTATATATATTTTTCTATAGATGTATGATTTGTAATAGTACGTTCAGGTTCTTTTGCATTAATGTTGAAACACTTTTATCGTCTATGATAGTCCATAATAATAAGAACACGATTGAGTATAATAGTAAGTACAATAACTTTGCTTTCAAGTGATATACAAAAGGTCCTTCCATTCTTACAAAAAAGGGCCAATTATGCATTCTTCCATTTTTGTTGTGACATGAAAAAGACAAATTCTTCAATTGAGTTTACGAACTTGAGTCCTATAATAAATTTCTTACAGGTGCAACAAAATCAGATTGAGATAAACCTTGAACATGAGATGATAGAACTGAGAGAGCATGGGATGTCTAGATTAGAAGAGAAATACCAAACAGCACAAAAACTGGCAAGTTTTATCGCTAATGTATTTATGTATTGTTATAACATGCTTTAAGACCGAATCAGGCAATGGTAAAGTAAGGATATATTGATTTTCAAGTCTCAAACAATGGATAATCAGTAATTAAGTAAGTTTAGTAAGTAAGTAGGTAGGTAGGTAGGTAAGAAGGTAAGTAAAGGCTTTATTTATCGAGGCTTTACATTTGGTTTCCCAATCTTCAATGCGGGTATCTAAGTTTAAAAGGTATTTGAAAAATACTGCGATTCGAAAATTGCTTATTTATTTATTGTGTACGAATCATTCCTAAGAAAGAGATGCCTTTTACCTGTCATTGTTAAATGTCTCTCTGTTAGCCATCATGCACGCTTGAATTTAAAGCCTCGTTTAGATTTCTTTAACATTACATTCGAAAGGGGAAAAAAAAATTTTTAAAAAATTTTTTTTAGCGTTTTATCAAGGTATATTAAACGGTGGAAATCCAAACATTCTAGTGATTCGTTAGTTTTATATTGGGTCTAAGAAAATAAGGCATTTGATTGAAACTACCAAAATAAATATAATTAAAATTAAGTTATTTCTTCGTCGTGTTTATACATAAGCGCATGGTTCGAAAAATACTTATCATGCAATATTTTTTTTCTTCAGCATGAACTGAAACTTCAACTTATAGAGCAACAGATAAAAGGTTTGCCCTTGCATTTTAATTTGAACAAATTGAGCTGATCCTTATACAAAAATTCTACTAGGTCATTAGACCATGATTTGAAATCAAAACTAACTTATTATCGAGATACATGTAACAGTGTAGTTCAAAAATCCTGTATCCGTTTGAAAAGAATTGCATTTATTACCTTATATTGCACACATTCATAAAATTGATTTCATTTCTTTTAATGATAGAGCGGTTGGATTTGACAAAACCGTAACAGGATGCATAATTGATATAAGGATTTTAACATATGTTATACTGATTACTCGTACAAAATATATAAATAGCTACAAAGAGAAAGAAGAATTAAAAAAAAATTAAGCTACAAAGAGAATCAGATTTTAAAATGAAAATGATATTTGAATAGACATATTTCAGGAAAGAGGTGTTTGAAGATTTGACCCTATTATAAGTTTATATTATAGAGGTCATGCAAGAAACATTTTCTTTATAAAATGTCTTTATTTCTTTACTAATAAACAATCAATCAAAAGAACGTCAGATTTCTAAAAATAATATTGCTTGTAAAAGAATAATCAATAAATAATTATAGTAATTTCATCTAAAGAAAACATTCCGGAGTTTGCATACTTTGTTTTTAATTAAGTGGCTTGTAACTATAAGCAGAAACAGTGTTGTTGTTGATGTTTTAAAGTTTAAACACACACACGTGTTGGTCTGTCGAAATTATCTTGCAAAATATTTGGTCTAAATATGTATTCTTCACATTCATAATTTAACATGCCGATTTACTAAAAAAATAGGACAAGCATATTTTTTGTATAGTATTATTGAATATTATTTACATTAATTACCGTAATTGGTCGACTTGTGTTTTTATTTACAGATAAAGAAAATGAGCTTCGGCTTATGCTAAATCTTAGATCTGCGGGAAAACAAAATAATCTTAAAGGTACGGTACTTCATGAAAAAAAAAATTTAAAAACCTTTGAATTCACCGCTCTTTTTTGGTAAGAATCAAAGATTGTTCACATTGAGAGAAGACAAACATATTAAGAACATAATGTTATTTTATACATTCATTTGTTTAAGGACTAACACGAGAATGTAACTAAAACGAGTTGAACTAGCTATATTTGAAATATATCAATCATTCATAGTCAAAGAACCATTCTCTTAATTTTTCTTGTTGTTCTGGCATTAAAACTGCGCACGTAGGTGTATATTAAAGTGACATTATGCTCACATTTTTATTGTCAAGTTGAGCTGAATTGACTTTATATAGATTGACTGTTTAAATGATGTATGACCAACAGATTATATTGGAAAATGTTTAAGCTAAAATTTAAAATCTGCCTAAATCTACCTAAAATATAAAAAGACTGCCCCACTTTTTTATAAATTGAATGTTACAGGTAGATGCTAAATGACATTCACTGAAATTGCGTTCGAATCCGGTGGTTATTTATTGTTTATGCGAAGTAAATTATTAAATCAAAAGTAATGGTGGCAAAATGAAAATTTATTTAGACTCTCAACTGTTCACTCACTAAATACCTTTAGATGGGCATAATGTCACTTTAACGAAGACGGAAACATGCTTTAACGGATACAATTACGCAAGCATGTACCTTGTTTTTAATATGCATGCGTTATGTATAACGGTTATAAACGGGAAGGCATGACGAAACCTGTATAATAGTTATATGGGAAAAAATAAATGTAACTTATTTGAGAATAGCGCTAATACACAATTTGTGCCTGCATTATATCTGCATATTTTGATCCATGTTAAACCGTGCATTAATTCTCTATTATGTTTTTCTTTTCAGAGCACTTCTTGATTGATCTACAGATAAATGTTATTGCTAAAAATGGTGAAAAAAATGTCGAAGGGAATCAAAGAGTTTATGAAGTAATGAGAGACTATATTAAGGATAACGATGATATGACTGGTTCGCCTTTTGTTGAAAGATCAACTGATACACAAATCTATCACCTCGTAGATTTCATCAAGGCCATAAAGAAATGCCGTATCGTTGTTATTTCTCCCACAGACCAATCGTAAACAGACATAAAAATCAACTCCCCCCAGTTTGGGAATCCCATGGAAATTTTTTTCTCAAGCCACCCTTTTCAGAAAACCAAATTTTTCAAAAAAAAACTTTTAAAAACCCTTAGACATGGTACAAGTGAAATTATGACAAAAAATTTGAAAGACATAAGGGCAATTTCCCCTATCAAATGGTTAAGAGAAAGCAAAAAACTTTCTGCTTTTAAGTTAAATATGAATAATAATGATATATGATACCTTTTATTTTTTAACAGTGTTTTCTGCTACTGTCGGTGCATTTGTAATCAGTGCATATTAATAGTATTAAATGATTGATTAATCAAAATAAATTAAAACATTGTTTGCTCTATATCGTTAAAATATCTAAGGATTTTGAAAAACTTAATACGTTGAAATTTTTTATTCTGTAAACACAAAAACATGTACAGATATTTGAATACGTAAAACTACTGTCTTCAGAATTAAGTGACGTAACCAGAATTATGACTTGTACCGAGCATCAAAATACACAATGTACTCTCTATTGTCCTGACCATGACACGTTTTATGTACAGCATGCAGAGAATCAAAACATGGGTAATTATACATTTCTTACAATCAGTAACTTATAGTGGTTAATATAGTACAAAAGGTATCAAATTAAACAAAAGCATTTTAAATTCGTGCAACAATGACTGACAACTTGTCTGTCAGAAAAAATTTAAGCTTGATTTCACTTAAAAATGTGTAAACAAATAAGAACAATTTATAGTTTGAAAAAAAAATCATTTGATACTTTTATTGACCCGACACTTTAATTTTATTCCTCATTTTAGCATATTGAAATAACTTAAATTTATTTGGTTAGTAAGACGAATGAAATATGTTATAGTCATCACCTTTGATAAATATTCGAGTGTTGGCAGAATAATTAGTCTTTTCGTTATATAGCGATTGGCCGATGTAACATTTGGTCTACACTCAGATACAGTGAGCGACTAAATAGTTCCTTTTGATCCAGTGATGTGGTTTTGACCCCGCTATTGCTTTGACGTTTTTAGCATCCGAGGTTAGCCAAATTATCCGTTTCTGTTTCCGGAGCAATATGACCTAATTAAACTTTGTTGACCAGTACGCCCTAAAACCAAACAAACAAACAAAACTAACAAAATATTTTTATATCGGCCAATTCCAGCATTTCTAATAGGTGTTTTGTATTTATTTAACTGTTAACTTTTAATTAGAATATTACCTTAATTCCTGAAAAAGTGCCAGGTATTTATTAAAGGGATTACCTGCTGCTTTGTGTTTTTTGTGTTGTGATATTCTGACATGCTAATTCTTTACAATTTACCAAGGATTTTTTAAGCTTGTAATTGCTGTTATGACATTTTTATACGTGTTTTTTTCTTAAAACTGATCATATTCATTTTATTTTGTAAACATGCAAACTATTATTGCATGATTATCATTATTAAAATTTATTATCTGATCAGTAATTAAAATTAGCTCTTTAAAATCATGTGATGCACGTATGGTTCAAACATCATATCAACACCCTTCTGTGTAATTTAGTTACTAATACATTGTTTATGAAGTGTTTGCGCTGTAATTGGCCCTTCATTTATAGGGCAGATAATTTGTACAACTTATGGAAGTAACAACCATTTTCTGACCATGGGGATTTTTTGCACTTCGATTGTGTACAACATATTTCTTAGAGGTTAATACTTGGTTGCTGTTCGCCATTGTACTATAATGGTCCGACGATGTTTATAATGACCCGAGGATCGCAGACAAAAATGAACAGTGTGTCAATAAAATAATGTTGTTGTTTTTTTCTTTTCATAAAGCACATGTCATGGAATAAAACAGGTTACATCTGAAAGGTCTTATGATGAACAGAAACGTCGTCTAGCCATCAGTATAAAAAAAAGTTATAACGTTAGGATAGATAATACTTTAACTAATAGAGACAACAATGATGAAGAAAATTGTTCAATCACTAGTATGTGTATGCTTCCTAATAGTGAAGTTCTGCTTGTTGATGAAGGGAATAGAAAACTGAAGATATTGAACAGTTCATACAAGGTAATAAACTACTGTGATGTACATGAAACTCCCTATTATGTATGTTATATAGGCAACAATACAGTTGTTGCTGGTTTAGGAGGCATACAGTACGTGAATGTGTCAGGTAAGATAAAACTAAGACAATTAACGAAGCTAGATCATAAATGTCTCGATATAGCTTGTCACGGTGACACACTCTATGTTAGCAGTAGTGACACAATTTACAAATATGACAAAAACTGTAAACAAAAGCAAGTTATCTATCAATTTGGTGAAATTCGGACCAGGTTCAACATAAACCCCATTGCTATAAGTGACAATGGTGAGCGGCTCTACTTCATGACAGTTACAGGTCTAGCTACAATAGTTGTTAAAGGAAATCATATATTCAGTTCACAAATTGACGATTATGGCATACGTGATATATGTATTGCTGGTGAAGGTATTGTTATTGTATTAGATGTAAAAAACAATGTTCATCAACTGGATTATACTGGAAAAAAACATCGGACTGTAGATAGCAAGCCAATAGATATTTCAATTGCGTCTTCCATGTGTTTCGACAGAGAAAGATGTAGACTTATTGTTGGTGGATTTCAAGACAAGATACATGTTTACAAATGCCAAGTTTTGCCAAATTATATCAGTATAGATATATACAGTAGAATCCCTACTTAAGACCACCCCGGAATTAAGACCACTCCGCTATTAAGACCATTTTTTAAAAGAACAGAATTTTCTGTTCTTTATATCAATGGTTACATGATCCAGAATTTAGACCACCCCGCTTATCCACTTTTAAGACCACCAGATTCAGCCCAAATTCATTGTTTATTTGACCCCTCTATTGAGACCACTGATATTAAAGCCAACACCTATCTTATCTTAAATTTTGTTATGATCTGCTTGAATTCTCTTAAGCTTGACACTTGATTTCACAAGGTGTCAACAACTGTTGTTATTTGGGTTATTGTATGAAAAAAAGGCGAGAAAGTAAATTTTATAGTGGTTTAATGTTGCAGCACATTTATTTTATGAAGAATTAATTTCTTATTTAACAGGTGAATTATATTTATCATTTAATAATCAATATTCAAATCAGACTAAATAGAATTTAATGTTAAATTTCTCAGAAATATATTTACATCAGATTATATATTATAACATACTTTTATATTGTTAATATACATATTGTTTGGTCATATAACATGACTAAAATAGACCATGGTCATAAAGTATGTAAGCAATAAGAATATTCACAATTAAGACCACTTTGTCATGATGGTGGTCTTAACTGAGGGTTTTTACTGTATAGTAAATAAAGATGTTTTGGTAATTTTAAAACCAAGAACCAAATGAAAAATGCATTGCTAAACAACTTTTATTTATCAAATTATTAAGTTTGTAAGCTTGCTTATTTCTTCATCGAGTCATTGCTTAATATTTTGATATCGCACTTATGTACCTTGAATGTATTTGTAAGGACTTGTATATATTAGATAACTTTCTTATAATAAAGGTTGAATAGTTACAAGTTTGAAACATTTTTGAATCCAAATCGAGACTATTGAACAACAAGACAATCTTGTTAAAGGACTAACGAATGAATTGATATTGATTTATCCCGCATATTGTCATTTCTACTAAGGCCTAAAATAAATTGAATTTGTTTCTCCTTCCCTACCTACCTAACAAATTTGCCCCTACCCAAAAGATTTTTTTCAGGTTCAAAGGGGATCAAGATTTTTTTCTTTCAGAATACAATAGGTACAATCTAATCTGATATTTTAGACAGCTAGCATAGTTAATAAATTGTAGCATATGTCAGTTGTGAATATGGAAATGCATGTACATATACTATTACACTTAATAAATCAATTTTAATAGTTCATTATACATTTATGCAGATTATTTATTATTATGCATATACAAAAAAAAAATAATTTTCCTACCTACCTACCCAACCCTAATTTAAATGGGTCGGGAAGGGGAAACAAACATAAAATTCAATATTTGACGATAATCGGATATATGATACTTGTACTAGTGGTGAAGGTATTGTTTTTCTATTAGATGCAACAAACACTATTCATCAGCTGGATTACAACGGCACAATATATGCTGACTGTAAATAAAATGGGTACATTATTTGCGGGTTCTTTGTGTTTTGACAGAGACAGATGTAGACTTATAGTTGGTGGAAATGAAGACAATATATACGTGTTTACCAATGTGCAATTTTGCCCCATATTAGTCGATAGACTTGTTTTGGTAAACAAAGATGTCCCTCATATAACATGTTTCCGTATTGTATATGAGTCCATGTATATATTACATATTTTTTCATAATAAAGGTTGAGTAGTTACAAGTTTAAAACTTTTTTTAAAAACAAATCGAGATATTCAACAAGACAATCTTGTTGAAGAACATAAGAATGATATGATGATTGATTTAACTCGCATATTGCCAATTTAACTTACACTCCGACAATCTTCTAATTGGACGCTTACATTTTCTCATATCTCTAAACAGTTTTAAGGAAAGATATGTTAATATAATCATTAATTGCTCGTATAAAAAAACTTCATTACAATTTATTTACGGAAAAATGTACATCAGTACTGCAGGATGAAATCAAACTCGTGTGCGTGTGTGTGTTGGTGTACGTGTGCTCTTTTAGTGATGAAACCAGATTTCCAGAAGACTGCTCTGAAATATATGTTAAATAGATAAAATGGAAATATTGATGATTAGGAAATTTTTCTCAGAAATTTAATGTATATCAGTTGTTAACAAATTGTCATTTACATCTTAAGAAATGAAAATTACTCTAAACACGCTTCTTTCTGTGAAATTTGCTATTTATCCGGATGACAGACAATCCGTTTACACACTGTGATACTTTGCACTTCGACTGCCTGAAAGACACGTTGTCCTGTGATACAAAAAAAATGTGATGAATTATACGTCGTAGGTCCATGAGGTTTGGTTCCGGTGGCTAGATACGCTCCTTGTGCTTCGGTGGATCCAATGCGATATTTCATACGTGTCGTATAGTAAACTTTACACTCATTTTTCTTTTTTGCATAAATTTGAATAACCTTCAGATCTGTAAAATAACGCGATAACGTGGCATTCACTTATATCAATTTAAATAACATATTGCAACTTTAACAACGACACAAAGATAACTTACTGAAACACTAGCATGAATACATTCGATCATCGTGCACAGTGCGCACGTGTAAGTTTGTCAATGTTCCATGTTTAACCAGGATTTAGAATTAAGACACGAGTGGGTCGTGTGGACCTTCAAAGTGAAGCTCCATTAATTAAACTTAACACATGCTCTTTTTTTAAATACTAATAAATCTGCTTTGGACGGTGCTAGTGCGAGGCCGATAACTTATATATAACTGTCAATAAACCCGTCCAGTCAAGCAAAGGTGCGATTTTTTCAATTTTGTCATGTGCATTTGTTTGGGGTTTCATTTTTTACAGCGAATATTTGAACTTTTGAGAACATTTGTAAATTATACATTAATGTCATGCTAAATTATCAATATCGTTTTCTTTACTAATATAAAACATGTACATAGATCTAGTTCAATATATGTTCAAGGTCACAACTAAGAGACAAATACGCAAAATGCCAGAATATATCACCCTTGTTTAAACATGAACCTTTAAGAACCGACCGATTAAATAAACGATAGTCCATATAAGACGGAGTAAATATCAGTTGTGACATCAGTCAAAGTCTGGTTCCCAGTCTACATTTACTACGGAAAGTAGTGTGAGGGGAAGAAACTCCAGACTACATAATTATAGTAAATGGAAGATTTCTCTCAATCTTCGCACTGTTTGTATAGTGTCAAATTTTTCTCTTAGAATTGCGGTCCCTTGTTAATGTGAATAATAGTATTAAAAATACCCATCTTTAAATAAAAACATTTACTTAATTGTATATATTAACTCAAAAGTATTGGAATGCCGACATATGAAGACTATCAAAGTTTTAGCCAATTATACCAACAAACAGTGAAATTATAGTAATTTGTCTTTCAAATTCAAGGTCATTTATGAATCAAGGTCAATTTGATTTTGATTTCCTTTAAAACATTGTCTTTAAAAAATTGTGCTTAAGGCCGTGTCTACACCTATTCAAGTTTCTTAAATGTCACATTTAGATAAGCTAAATAAATGGCCCTTAATATTAAATCAGGCACAATTTTTACTGAAATGTCTAATTAAGATTGCCCAGGATTTATACCTTTGTCTTTGCAATACTATCATGTTTCTGTAAAATATGTGAATAAAACAAGCGGGAAAAAGATGCAATTAGCTAAAAACAATCGAGTAAATGAAATTGAAATGTGTAGATTCTTTTAAAATAATGGAAAATGTGAGAAAAATATTTTTTGAGCTGATAAAGTTTTGCAAATTCTCTATTTCATGAAAGTTATTCACTAAATGAACAAGATCATTTAAAATCCATTTTGACTACTTAAAAAACTGATTTATTTTTTTTGGATTTTTTTTTGCTTTGCTCTTCTGTGTGTCAGGGTATTGATCTTTTCCTCTGACCAAAATATTGTATACATTTACTAAAATTTACAGATCATGAACCAAAAAAGTCAGAAAATAATAAAAAAAACAACACTATCACACCTTCGGGGCACATGTTTTTTGTCAAACCGGTGTTATCAGTGTCTTGAGAGCCAATATCTTGTAGAAAAATAGAACGTGTTCTAACTTTCTTGCAAGGAATTATCTTCTTGGATGTCACATAATTCCTCTTTAAAACTCATTCAAGTAGGGTGTCTACATTATCCAATACAAGAGAATATGATACCTGCATTCAAGACTTGGATAGGTGTAGACGGGCCCTTAGTATGAAGAAAAAACATTTTTTTGCAAAGTTATAGATCAAAGCTATTTATGAGTGAAAATCATAAATAATTAAATCTTGAAGCTTTTGTTCAAAGAATTGTTGTGTATTAGTATGAAGGCAATCCATTATTATATAACAAAGTTAAATAAAGCAAACTTAAACCATTTGACCTTGAAGGTCAAGTTCATTATGGTCAACTTAAAGGTTTTGCTTAAAGGCTTTTGTGTCTAGTTATCAAGGCACATTATGAATTTAAAAGAGAATATATAACCAACGTTAATTTTTTCGGAAAGCAACGGCATCAGCAATGACACCATGGCTGTAGATATAGCTCTTTTATCTTCCATAATGTCGAATTAAAATTAGACAATCGTGCATTTAAAGGACAATGTTTTTACGTACAACAATATCTTGAAAATATTCTTATTGATTTTAAAAGTATCAACGTAACCGTAGGCACTCATCTGAGTTACTTTTGCACATTCCGTGCGTATTTACTGCGTGCCTGAATATCCGGTGCATAGAAAAACCGGAAAGCACCGGATAGCACCGAAATACCGGAAAGCACTCAAATTTCTCATAATAACATATGAAAACGTTAATTAATCGGTTTGAAAGTGTTACCAATCGATTTATTAGATCAAAATCTTTCAGAAAAGTCATTTTTTTAAATATATATTGATAATTATTACGAGTATTTAGGAAAATAGATATATCGAGTGCTTTCCGGTCTTGTTAAGATACATGTACATTACCGGATAGCAATTTTGTTTATCAAAGTTATACATGAAAACTTTATTTTATTGGTTTGAAAGTGTTACCAATCGATTTATTAGATCAAAATCTTTCAGACAACCCGTTTTTGTAATTATATTATGATTATTTTTACGATTATTTAGGAAAATAAGATATATCGAGTGCTTTCCGGTCCTGCTAAGATACATGTACTTTACCGAATAGCAATATAGTTTATCAAAGTAATACATGAAAACTTTATTTTATTGGTTTGAAAGTGTTACCAATCGATTTATTAGATCAAAATCTTTCAGACAACATGTTTTTATAAATATATAATGATAATTATTACGAGTATTTAGGAAAACTGATATATCGAGTGCTTTCCGGTCCTGCTAAGATACATGTACATTACCGAATAGCAATATTGTTTATCCAATTAATACATGAAAACTTTATTTTATTGGTTTGAAAGTGTTACCAATCTATTTAGTACTTGAAGATCTGTATATCATGACGTTTTTATAAATATTTTATGTTTCATTACGCGATTTTCAAAGTTGTTACAAAGTTGTATTGATTGCTTTCCGGTAATGCTAAAGTACATCTACTTTACCGAATAGCACTCGAATATTTATATAAATCACACTAATCCTTCATATTAATTATGTGAAAGTGTTATAAATTGATTAATTAAGTTGAACTTATTTCAATCAAAAATATTATGATTAGTTACACGATTTTTCAATCTTGCTCATACCATATATCAATGTATCATATTTCTAATATATTATAGGTTGTGTGAAGGACAGAAAGAGGATTTGTAAAAAGTACCAATAAGTTATTCAAAGCATCGAACCATATTTTTTATTATTATATTTTTATAT